TAGTACTAGGGGGATCAGTGTTACACATATATTTTATGATACAAGTATTATACTCACTACTACTCATGATCATACATGATCATACTGGTACAACATTCTGTCCTTCATACACATACATGCCCCCCTACCTGGTTGTACCACCAGTATGTATTATTGTTGGAATTGCATTTAGTATTTGCAGTACAGTATGTTATATGTGTGGAGGCAGTTGCGTACTAGCATGTGTACTGCAATGTAGTAACCAGAGTTGTAGTAGTGTGACAATGTAGTCAAGAGCTTTGGCATGACACACAACAGCACCAGTGACATTGTTGGTGAGATTGAGAGCTTTACCTCGAGAAAAGACAGATGCTACTGCAAGAAGTACTATCTTCAATAAACTTGACAGCTTTCTTCTACTAGCGTGAGAGTTTGTTGAAGATGGTATTTTTTTGTGCTGAAGCAGATGAGCTCATCTAGTACTAGTGCAGTGATTTAAATATCTCTGTGAGTTGCAAGGATTTACCATGCTTGTATGGATACTTGGGTAGACAACAGGCTGCTGCTGCAAGCAAACACAACTAATGCTAGTACTAGCTGCTARTGGGGCTCTCAACTCACCTTTACAAGGAGATGAAAATACTAGTAGTGCTTCTTCTTTTCAACAACACCATGCCATCAAGATAGAGTGCTTCTTTTTGGATGACAATGTCATCATCAACATGGTAGTRGTTTCTGCTGTGTTTTCTAGCTGAGTTTTTACTGAGTATGCAACCAATTTTTGGTTCTGGTACTTCACTTGCACTCATACTGGTAGTAGTACTCGTGGTAAAGTTCAGTGCTGACTGCTGTGAGCAAAAAAAGAAGTCTACCCTTTTACCTGTTGAGGTACATGGGCTTGCCATTAGCAGTTATTGCATGACTACCTTTTTTTACTAACCAGACCAGTAGCTAGTAGTATTATTACTACTATGAAGGATAAAAAGGGTCTTTTAAGAAGGGAWGGCTTTGTTGGCTACAAATCCTGATTACAAATTTTAGCACAAGCACTTGCCAAAAAGTTAGCTTGGTTACAGTATAACCAAACTGAGGTGCTTGGTTATATAAATACATCCATAGCAAAAAATCAACTGGTGTTCATTAGTGCCAGCTGATTGACAAGATATATCATGCAGTAACAAAGTGCACACAGTGGATACTTACAACATGGTAAATTTGAGCAACTCCATGGGTAGGTTTTACAACTGTGGTATTGCTTGGACAGCACATGCACCCAAAAAGCTGAAGAACACACAATATAATACTCTTCCCACAAAAATAACACAGAKGACCTCAACAGGTTCAAAATTCTGGTTRCATTTTTGGACACACCAGTAACGTTACTGGGGTTGAGAGCTCTAGCTTGAAACTGAGGTRAGGTTACTGCAAGTACKGTATTCGGCACCACTATCACTAAGCTCTATAGTGCTTGAGTGGAGCAATGAAGCAGCTCAAAASTAGCATACACTCATTTACAATTGATTAGTACACTGGTGCCAGAGGATGCTTGTTGCTGTTATAGTACCTATGGATGACATTCACTGGTAGAGAGGACACTTGCTGATACTGAGGAGCTACTGCTTGTATGGAGTAGCTGCTTATACTGAGGATGATTTCCTGGTATGATATGGAGGATGATTAATTGTTGATACTACAGGTGGGGCTGCTGATATGTCRTCTGCATCTATCTTATAGACAGTGCTTGGCAAGACTGGACTACTAGAGTACTGTGATGATTGATGAGAAGTACTCACACAACCACACACAAGGMAAATTCTATGAAAAAGAAACAGAAGTTGTGAAGCTAATTCTTGACAAAGATCATGGCATGAATAGCACTGATACCGACACTCTTGTCAGCTATTGAARTAGCTCCTGTTGTTGAGGATACAGCACAGATAACATTTA